CGGGGCCTGGCTTAGGCCCCGCCTCCTGCCCCCGCCCCTCCGGGGGTGGGGCTCCCAGCCCAGTGGGATCACCGCGCGCATCGGGCGAGCCCAGCCCGCCACCCGAGCGGAGAAAGACAGACCGAGAGCCGCTGTGCATTTCTTCTCGCTCGGTATCTGGAATCTTCTTCCCGGTGGGGCAGAAGAAAGCACAAGCACGGGGTTAACGTTCCTGTTTTAGAAAATCCAACTGTGAGCCCATAGGGCAGCGAGCAGTCTTGGGTCCCTCGCTGAGCATCTAGAGCCAAGCCCGGGAAGGGTCTGCCCTGGAGCGACTCACTGAATGGGACAAAGTTGTCAACAACTTGTAACTAACCTACTCGGACTTGAAAATTAGCAGGGCGTCACTGGTAGTCACTGTTGCCCTATCTGATGCCAGTGACATAAGAACCCCGTGTCTTCCGACTTAATTTTTATCACAAATTTACTGAAGGGGTAGATGAAATGTTTGTATCTATGCAAATGACTGTACGGCATTTTAATGGTGTGCCTGGTATTTTGTGTTGACTACAGACACTCCACATTGCTTGAACGCCGGATGTACCGCACTTCTCTTTACAGTCTGAATAGCTATTCCTTATGAAGCCTTTGGGACGGCGTTCCAAACCCTTTTCAAAGGGGTTTTTGTTTGTTTGGTTGGTTGGTCGGTTTTCTGGGTAGTCTCTGCAAGGGTTGGGGATTCTACTTACATTGCAATAAGCGCCTTTTATTTGAAGGGATGGGCACTGTGCACTGTGCTGAACAATGCTACAAAGACCTCTAAGCAAAGAAAACCGAAAAGAAAAAAAACACACACACACACACACACAAAAAGTTTGCAGGAGCTGTTCTGTGCGCTGTTGCCCCTGTGACACCGCTTGTCTGTAACCATCTATCACGGAGACATTTTCTCATCAGGAGACAAAGGGTATATTCGTCCTTGATGTGTAGGGCTTCAGCTGTTCCGCCCTCATGAATGTTAATGGAATGAGACCTTCTTTCTGCACGTAGGTTACTTTTCTTATTTTAATGTCAATAGGCCACGGAATCCTTGGAGAGTCTGCGCGGTGGAATGAATTCCAAGCATTTCTTCAGGACTGCTACCTGTTCACTTCGAAGAGACATTCTACAAATGTCTGCAAAGCTTTTAAACAATTATTTACATCTAACAAAAATTGAATAATTTATTTGTTTACAAAAAGGCCACGATGTATACATTTTATTATTAGACTCTACAAAAGAAGCAGTTAGCCATGAATTTTGGCTGAGTTCCAAAAAGCTGGCCAGTAGGAACAAGTATTTGTCTTTGGAAAAAGGATGTTCTCAGCAATCCACAAGGCCAAAAGGATTCTTTGTTTTTTCAGATCTCATCTGATATGTTTTCCATTAAAATGCTGTAGTTGAAAGTACATTTGTTTCTAGGAATTTGTATTTTTGTAACTAACATTAATGTTGAGCCAGAGTAAATCTTGTGTGGCATAGAGTATAAATTGATACAACCAATGAGGAGGGCTGAAAGTTGACTCCATATGCAGTTTCTTCAATGCCCATATTTTCTCTAAAGTAGATTGGTACTGCCAGGAGACGACATGTCTCAAAAAAGAAAAATTTTCTAAGTTATTAAAACATTTTAAATG